AGAAATTTCAGTTTTATGTAACAATACTGGTGCTAACACAAGCATTTACGTACACACATATTGTTGATTCTTACTCTCGAATCTTCTACGAATTTGGAGAATAGGCGGGAGTTTGCAATACATATTTAACAGTATAAGCCATGTATGTTTTTAAATATAAACTTAATCTAAACAAACGTTGATATTAAAATAAATATATAATAATAATAATAAATTTGTTACAGTCTTTATATAGGATAGCATAACACCCATTTCATTCTTCACATTTGGAGGTATGTGACAACTGAATGAGCAGTATGACTTGTTTAACACATATCCTGTTGGCTTCATATCCATTTGGAGTTCCTTCTTTATTATGTTGTGTACTGTTGCTTGGACTTTGGATGGCTCTTGCCACTGACCTTTGAGTTCATGAATTCTCATGCTACAAGATGTCATACTTTGCTTACCATTGCTACAGTATGACTTGTTGCAGATCTCTTTCTGAATGGTTTGGTTGCTACAAGTTTATCCATATTTCTTTATTTTCCAATGCTATTAACTATGAGGGATAACCTCATCTTGGAAATTCTAAATCACTAATCTGAACACATTTTTATGATCTAAATGTATGTGTATTTTGCTTCAGAAAGAGCTGTTACACACCTTTCCCAATTTTCAGTGGCATCATACTACTTATGAAATACTAAACAATAGTCCTGTTAGAGGACTTTATACAGCAACTTTATATCAGCTGTCTTGACTTTCTTATTTTCATATTTAAAACTGTTTTATATTACATACATCTAAATACCTTCTAAATAGCTATCACCCTACAGTTATTTACTTTGAGTTTATGATGTTCTATTTTTTTTTCTTTTTTATTATTGTTAGAAAACATGTTTAGGAGATGAATGAGATGTATATTGTGTGTGTGTGTTTGTATTTCTGGTATTTATTAATTATTGTTTATAAAATGAACATGGACAAATAACTTAAAATACATTTGTTTTGACTTCAGGTTATGTTCCAAAAGTGTCTTACACTGTTATGACAACAGAAGAAGAAACTGTAAAAGAGGAAGGTGGGTTAACTATTATTTAAATTACTAGCTGCAAAGGGGGATCACATTGTATTTAATGTTTTTAGTTTATTTTAAGGAATGTACAGAGCTGAGGAAATATTGTGCAGTCAGGTAGAATTACTAGTGCTTTAGTAAAGTGGTTTAAAACTGAGGTACATGATCTCCAGAAGGGGAGGGAATGGGATGACAAAAATAAAAACTTACTACACACTTCTTTACTTGTTTATAAAATAGAGTAAATCTTAGTACTGACACATTAAAACTTGAAGATGGTGCTGTGCATGTGTCTGACGTGTTTTTTTTTTGCCCTTCTAATAGTTAATAGGTAAGTAGTATCTCACATAAAATGTACTGTATACTTGCATGCATGTTTGAACTGTGGTGCACTACAATTTTTTAAATTAGTTGTAATGGCATATTAGATTATTTTTACCAATACGTATGTGTGTGTATTGGTTAGGGCATCAAGTACCACAGACATGAGGAAGGGGATTTTAGTCTAAAAAAACTTTGAGAATCATTGTTCTAATGTCATCAAAACCATGGATACTAATACTTTTTACTTATGAATATAAAGACATTTTAATTGAAGCTAGTACTTAGTATTATATTATGTTTATGAAATGTGACCTTATTCTTTTGTTTTATTTTATTTAGACCAATATCTGTACACAACTAAGACACTGCCTTTTAATTCTTTTACTGCTATAGGCACATTTATATCCCCTTTTGGAGCACTGCCATGGACATATTAATGGGACAAATTGTATAATTAGGGCTTCTGATTTTCAATTTTAACTGAACAAACATCCCCAAGACAAAAAGAAAAAAATTTTTTTTTTTCAATAAACACCAGAAATAGTCATTCAGTTTACTTTAACATCCTCACTTTCCCCAGTCACTGTGCTTATGAGACCTTACTGTATAAACTATATTGCTATGGAATATTAGTCTTGAAGAAAAAAGAACATGTTTTATCTGTTAGTGGCAAGTTTGTTTTTATAATTTTATATAAAATATTAACAAAGCTTAAACATAAATAGAACTATGTTTGATACCTGTTATTACTCCCATAAGAGAAATTAGTTTACGGTATATTAGCATGCTCATTACGGTATTAAAAGTGAAAACTCCGAAAAAACACACAAAATTTAAGGTATCTACATAAAACTATAGATCAGCTAAAAAATAACAACTATGTTTTAAAACATTAAACACTGACAAACAGAAGCCCTACATATTGTAGCCTTAAGGTGTGATATCAACTGCATACAAGTTTGGAATTTTGTGTCACCATGAAGAAAAGATATTACCTTTAAAATTTCCCAAGATTTACCAGTTTCAAGTGTCGGTTAAGTAATGAATTATTAAGTCATGCATTTTTTGTGTTTTTGTGTATTTTAAAATGAACCTAGTATTGTAGAGTGTTTATGTATCAACATAGCAGTTTCTGTTGTGTACTTTTTCTTGGGATATATGGACAACTTTTGTCACTTTCCTTTGTGTTCATGGATTTATATTTCTTACAAGATGCTGCACTTTGCTTACGATGGCTGGGGTATTACTTGTTGCAGGCCTTTTCTTTGCCCAAAGTAAATCCATATTTCTTTGTTTTCTAATGCTATTAAATACAAGAGGTATCTCAGTCTTGGAAATTATAAATCACTAATCTGAACACATTTTTATGATCTAAATGTATGTGTATTTTGCTTCAGAAAGAGCTGTTACACACCTTTCCCAATTTTCAGTGGTCATACTACTTATGAAATACCAAACAATCGTCCAGTTAGAGGACTTTACACAGCAACTTTATATCAGCTGTCTTGACTTGCTTATTTTCATATTTAAAACTGTTTTATATTACATACATCTAAATACCTTCTAAATAGCTATCACCCTACAGTTATTTACTTTGAGTTTATGATGTTCTATTTTTTCTTCTTTTTTATATTGTTAGAAAACATATTTAGGAGATGAATGAGATGTATATTGTGTGTGTTTGTATTTCTATTACTTATTAATTATTGTTTATAAAATGAACATGGACAATGAACTTAGAACACATTTGTTTTGACTTCAGGTTATGTTTTTAGTTTATTTTAAGGAGTGTACAGAGCTGAGGAAATATTGTGCAGTCAGGTAGAATTACTAATGCTTTAGTAAAGTGGTTCTCAAACTTTGGGGTATCATCTTTAGGGATGGAGGAGTTTATGCCAAAAATAATAAATTACTACACATTTCTTTATTTGTATTTATAAAGTAAAGCAAATCTTACTATTGGCACTTCCTGGCAAGTTAAAACATGTAGATGGTGCTGTGTGTACATCTGACGTGCTTTTTTTTAGCTCTTATATTATTGGACAAAGGCTTCTTCCATGTGATATTATGAGCTGTTTATGAAGATCTGGATGAAACTGCTGTGCTCTAATAAATAGATACACCTTTCTAATAGTAATAGGTAAGCAGGAACTTGCATAAAATGTACTATACTATATACTTACATGTGTGTTTGAAACTTTCATACACTACAATTTTTATTTCACCAAAAGGTGGCTTTTGGCTCCCTTGAGGGGTTATCTGTTTTAACTACTTGCACCACTCCACAGCAGTGTGTTGTCTGTCAGTATACACTCAAATGACGTCATTATAGATCTGGCCAGCTTAGGATTCATGCCCCTTACTTTTTTCTTTCACTTCTAGTTTCCCATTTTTGCATTTTTCACCTTTTTCTCTCTATCCTTCTGTATTCCCTTTCTGAATTCTGCCTTTTAACTGAGGCACTTCTTCACACATTTGATGGATTCTTTAAGCATTTGTTTTCTTTAGCCTGTTCCACTTCTTCTGTTTTATCCCTCCATACTTTGTTCCCTTACTGTCAGGACTCATTGGGTCGAGTTATTTTTCTGCACCCCTTTATTCTCCTTGCGTACCTCCTTTTCCTCTGGCTCCCTTTCATTATCCAGAGGTCTTCTGTGGTGTTCCTTTACCCCTGGAAACTTGGACTGCTGTCATAAGACTTCTGTCCTTGATATCTTCTCAAGTTTTGGTTTCTTCATCTTGACTTTGCCCTTTGCACCTATACCTTGTCTAGATCTTTCTCATTCTCACCTCCCCATTCTAGATTCCAGGCCTTCCTCTTTTCCTTATCTTCCCTTTACTGGTAATCTATTTCATCACTCTTTTTATCAGTGAATATCACATATGTACGAATCTTTTGGTACCTATCTCTCTTCCTGCTGTTTGTCTCACTTTCTGCCAATATATATTTTCTGTTTCTCCACTTTAGTCTCTTTCCTCACTGCTTTTCTTTTCTCTCCTCTTCCCATTACCTTTTCACATCCCTCCAATCCCTTCTACAGTTTTTTTCATTTGGCTTGCAGTTGTCCATGGTCAGTGGGGACTCTGGCTTCCCTAGAACTTTGGTGAAATCACTAATGTGTCTCTAAGTATGGACCTTGTGGATCCATGGTTTTCATTCTTGGGGTCCAATTCCACTTTGTGAGCATCTTGTTGGGGTATTGTCTTAGGGACTGGACCATGCCCAGACTATTTACTGCACTTGCTTACTGCCTCTCACACAAGATCTCTACCTTCTTCAATGCTTCCCTCTCTGTTGAGGGCAGGACTTCTGATGTTTTGGTGCTGATCATGTGTTCCCTCCACATCTACTGGCTCAACCCTCTCTCTGTTTTGGTATGTTCCTTTTCCTACCCCTACTGGTGGATCACTTGGTCATGTTCCACCCAGTCTCTTACATAGTCATTTTTTGCACCAACCATCCAAGAGGTTCCTATTCCAGGAACATACCACCTTTGGCCTATTCACATCAGGTTGATCTTCTTGCCTATCATTTGCCAAGAGCTTATATCCTGAGGGTGGACCACCTCTCTTGGCCAGTTTGCATTCTCTTGACTGAGTGGTCTCAACACCTCTGGTCTTTCCTGGGGTTTGATCTTAGTAGGTCACATCCTTCTTGGATACATTTACTACCCTTCACAACTCTGAGCCCTCATGGATCTCTGTTCCTCATCCTTCATCTCTGTCTATTGATTTTCTCAGCTTGGCCTGATCTCACCTTTTTCTATATGCCCATTCCCCTATTAGTTACTCCCTCTGATCCTCATCCTTACATGCTTTCCATCTTGAGTCCTTTTGTTGGCACTTCTTTGCCTGGCTCAGCCTTCATCAGCTGGCATATGAACCCCCTTTTTTTTCTTCCTCAATTTCCCTTCTCTCTCGCTCTTGTTTCACACATGTGTATCCTTTCTTTATCAAGAGTTATCTTCTCTCTTTCATGTGTATGGAATTTGCCCAATCCATCAGTGATTTTGTGTCACTCCCTTGTCATCTTTCTGCTGCCCTTTTCTATCAGCAACTATGGCAGTTCTTTTGTCATCAGTTTTCCACCACCTTTTTCTTCCTGGCAGTCATCCTGTGACCACCTTCCTGCCTTTTTTCCTTGGCTGCTCATCATTGGCTTGCCAGTCTGTTCCTTCACTGATTTTTGTGAGGTCTAGTCTGTAGACATCTCCTTTCTTGGTACCATGAGGTGTTTATTTCCATTTCCTCTCCACTCTGTTCTGCTCCTTTCTCCTCTGTCCTTTTCACTATGCTTCCCTGCCTGACTGAGACCTTAATGGGAATTACATGCCCCATTTGAGCCTTTGGCTTCCTGCCCTGTGTCCTCTTCTTTCTCACTTGCTATTACTGCTGTTTGGATGTCTATCCTATGATTATTGCTTCTTGCACTCTCTTCTACTGCACTTCTATATCCCTCTCACTGTTCCAGTATTTCCTTCCTCAGTCTTTAAGTGCTTGGGAGGTTGCCTGTGCTTCTTTCCTATCTCTATTCCTTCTGTTTCTTGCCTGTTGGACAATTTGGACCAAGATTGGCTCCCATGACCTGTTGGGCTTTTTGGTGTGCTTATTCATGGATTTCCTTTTTTCCATGAATCCCTTTTCTTCTCCCCTTACTGGTTGGGACTGTTACCTCCTCTAGTTGGATTGTCTCAAGTTGGGGATTTTTTCAGAATATCTTGCATTCAATTTGTTGCCTTCCTTCTTCTCTTACATCTCTTCTTCACTGGTCCTAGGATGAGCTCCTCCAGGTAGGCATGTGGATATTTTCCATACATTTGTCTTCTTCACACTTTCAAGCTGTTTTATCTACTGATGGTTTTTGGCTACTGCAGGTCATTGTTCTTCTACCACTCCACTGTCTTTGTGAAGAATACACTATTTCTCTCTCAGAGTTTCTTATATATTCATAGTATCCCATCAGGTTGCTGGTAATGTCTCTCAATGTATACTTATTTCCTAAAATCTGCATCAAGCCAGGATAATGGAAAATGCTCATACCATCCACCCTGGTTCCATGTATGACCACTGCAAGATGGTGTGTTCTGCAAGACCACTTCTGGTGTACCTTGCCTCATCAGAGAATGAAGTTCTCGAGCCACCCCTGTACACACACTTCCACCCATGCTCCCCAGTTCTAGTGCACCTTTGTGTTCCTTGTCTCATCAGAGAATGAATTTCTTGAGTGCAACTGCCTAAGGATAGCTGTTTGCCATGGAGCTATGTTGTTCTCCTATTGGTGGAGATCTTTGCTGCATGTTTATTCCATCATGCTGTAGAGCAATTCAAGTTAGAGCATGTGAGATTAGGTGGTAGTTGCCTCAAGGCATGCAAATCTCTATGACAAATGCAAGGGGAAGATAGCTAAACTGTGAAAGTGTTAACTTTCATGTTAATATCTTTAAGGAAAAAATATTCTGTGTATTTTGAGTGGGTCAATTTCTTCAACTTTTCTCTAAAATATTTAATAAGGTAAATTCCTTGAATAGTTTTTAATTTTAACATGTTTTATTTGTGACCGTTATCATAATAACTCATACAATTTATAAAATGGCCACTTATTCTATCTTTTAAACTAAAACATAGAATATTTATCTTAAGTGTTGATACCTCCCACACACTATGCATTTTTTACTGAAATATATTGTATTTACAGATCAGTCATCAGAGGAGACCCTGTCTTTAACAAACCTTTTGATCTGTTTGAGGCATGAAAATGATTGGTTATTTACTGAAGGAGTAGTCACAAAGAACCAGGCTTGGGATTTAATAGCACAAAAAGCAACAGAGCTTAGTGGTATTCTAATCAGTGGTAAACAGTGTTTTAAAGAGTGCAAGAATATTGAAAGAAAGCATAAAGAAGTCGAACATCCAATTATGTATATAAATAATAAAGATGGAGAATTGGAAGTTGATGATATAATTCCACATCTAAATGCCCAGCCATCTCAGTTGTGCAAGGATTATAAGTCAGAGGACTTGCATTTTCCTGATAACCTTGTTGAAATGAGGGAATGTGACATTTCAGCATTAGCTGATGATGATGATGAAAATAACTTAAATCAGTTCACTTCAACTTCTGAAATTATTCAGGCACTGAACACATTTAGGAAAGAAAGAAAAAAAGATGAGGAAGATAGAATGAAAAGACTTGAAGAAATGCATAAAGAAAGAATGCAATTATTGGAGAAAATAGTAAATGCTATTAAACAATAATGATTGAAAACTTATCATGAGAACTTTTGGCATAGTGTAAATATAAAACTTATTTTTATTAAAAGTATGCAACTGCAACAGTTAGACTCTTATTATCTTCAGCCAGTATTTGCACACACTTCAGTTTAGAATATTTTCAAAATAAATAATGAAAAACGATTGCCATATATTACATTAGCATTATTGATATAATGTATTAAGTTTGTGAAAACTAATTTTAAAACTGTTACTTTAAAGCTAAAAAACATTTTCTTTAAGCATCCTTGCTTATGTTGTTGTCATTATGATACAGCTGATGTGATAAATTAATTTTATAAAACATTCTTATGAACTTTATTTTATGATTTTACTGTTACAATATATATCTAGAATCTAAGACAGAATGTATAAAACTTCTAAGAATGTTATGTTGTCCACAAAAGACATGGATTGTTGGAGCATGCAACACTGTCCACAAAATTCAAGGATCATTGGAGCACACGAAACTGTCCACAAACTACAAGGATTATTGGAGCATGTGATGCTGTCCACAAAATACAAGAATAGTTGGAGCATGCAACATTGTCCTCAAAATACAAGGTTTTTTAGAGCATGTGACACTGTCCACCAAAACACTAATTGTTGGAGCACATGACACTGTCCACAAAATACAAAGGTTGTTTGAGCATGTGATGATGCTGTGTATGTATGCAAGTGGAGCTCTTAAATAGAAGGTTGCACGTTTTTAAAAAAGAACAAGCTACATACCAACATTTTTGACAATAATCAGAGGTGACTGTCTCAAGAATATAGTATGTTTAGGAAGGTTTGTTAAGGGGAATTTTTCATGAGAAAAATTTTAACCATTTTAAGTAATGTTATTTTGTTAATTATCTTGTTGCTTTAAAAATCAATCAGGAAATCCATTTAGAGATAAGTTTCTCACATTTCAGTAACTAAACACATCAATACCTAGAAAGTATTATTGTTAGTCTTCAACTTTAACATAAAACATTAATTACCCAATTTTGATAGGTTTAGTATCCCCCCCCCCTTTTTGTTCCTATTGCTATACAAGAAACTTGAAGAGTTACCAAAAAGAACATTTTCTAAATTTTTTCCCAAAAAATTAATACATGAGCAAATATAAATAAAATTTATTAAATAAAAGAAACTTACTAGTTATTCAGTAGTGTCATAACATACCAAAGTAGGTATTTTTTTTCTTGGGCATTATAAAGCTTCAAAATCTTCACCTACTGATTATGGTTTTCAATGCAAGGCTATTTGTTGGTGACTGGTATGAAGGCAAATACAACTGTACACTGTTTAATGGCTGACATTATTTCGTGACATAGTAATGTGTGTGTGATACAACTAGACTGATAACAGTACAAGTCGTATCCAGGGGCTTACTGACTCAAAAACACCCTGTTGGTAGAGGTGGATAGGGACCTAAAATGTGGAAAACTATGTTCAGTTTGAACTCTTGTACTTTTAACAACCACTTTTTTTTATTGTGACTTTGGCTTTATGATTAAAAAGCTATTGTAGCTTTTTGTTACTGTAAACAAGGATTTCGTCTAAATTATTGTAAATCTTATTATGACAAAACATTTATATAGCTGTACTCATTTCTGATAGGTGTTCATGTTGTTACTTCTATATATCATCACCTGAAGTATCCCAAGAAAATTTCCTATGGCCAGTTATACCATTTTCTTTCACAAATGATTTTTCAGCTGCCAATTCAAATCTGTGTCAAGAACTCTAAACTTAATATGCAGCTTTTTTAATTGATCAAACAACAGTTTCATTGGCTGTGCCACCTGCTAGGCTTTAATAAGTTCACATGATCTAATTTTAATGATACTAATTAGTATGCGTATATGACCATTTGCACTAACAGAAGTATATCGAAGATGTTGTAGTTGACTTAATATGACTTTGTGAATATTCCTTCTTGCTGATTGGTTGATCATTATATTTTGAAACAATTATTCCTTCACATGTGGAAAAGTATGTAACCAAATAAAATTATTAAACAGTAATAAGCATTAGTTTACTGTCCTTCATACCTGATATTCATGTTATTGGCATATATATGCTTCAATAATGGATCACAAACATATAACTCCTTGAAGAGAGAGAACAGTGCTTATTAATTGTAAGTTCTTGAAACAAAATTTACACTGAAGTGGTAATATATATACTAACAAAAATTTTTTTGTTTTAGAAAATTGCAAGATGGAATTAATTTTTAACAACTGATTGAAAAACAATTTTATATATGAGCTTTGGTTTTTTTTTCAATAAAAAATAATGCAAAATACATGTTTTTTCATTGCAACATTTCATTTTGAAAACGACCTACTTGAAATATTCTCAAATATTCTTTTTTCAATGAAGATTTACATAAAACACTTCAAAATGTTATTCTTATGAGAAGCTCTCTTAACAAGTTGTCCATCCGAAATTAAGACTTCTGTTATATACGTTTATGTACACCAATGGAAGTAAATATGAAAATATCAGTGGAACATACCGTATTGCTGGAGAAAGATTTATTTTATAAGCTTGATTACATCAACAGACATATAATTAGCTGAACAATAAATGAAAGCATACAAATAACTAACTGTATGCATTAGTATTTGGTGGAATTTTAGTCATTTGCTCTCTTTAGACCAGAACACCTAGTTGAAATGCTGTGATAAAATTTACTGATGGAACAGCTTTGAATGTTCTTTCAAGTACCTTTTTAGTGTGTTATACAATTCTACAGGATGCCTGGTTGCCCCTTTATTTATCCAGGTAGGTTAAAGTTATTTCAATATTCAGATTTTAGTTAGTCAAGACAGGTTTTCTGCTGTTGTAAATGCTTGCTTCCTTATAGATTTTAGCATGTTGGTCATATGCGACTTTTTTATACATCTAGTTCCAAATTCCCTCAGTGGTGTTCAAGACTGTATTGTAGCTATGCCAAAGGACTGTTTTCCAAATGTCCATTTTTTCTTTTGCCAAGTTTTTATCATGGTTGTATGCTTAGGACCATTCTTTTGTTGAAACACAAATACTTTCCAATTAAATGGATTCCTAATGAAATGGCACAGTATATTATAATCTGTTTGTACTTTTCTGCTAGAGGAGATGGAACCCCAAAGACACCCCCATGTTATTTTTTGTAGCTGTTGTACCTATGTAGTAATACTATCCCCAATTCTTCCTTTTAGTGTGCTCCCATTGCTTATTGCTAAATAACTCAACTTAGGATTCACTGGTATACAATACCTTCTCATTCCACTACCCATTATTAGCAAAGGTTTCCATGCAGCTACATGTTTACTGGAGCCAAACTGTTTCTTGCTGTTCCTGTGGTGACTTGACTTCAAACCAGTCCTTACTGGAATGTCTCTTGTACTTCAGAATTATATCCTGAGATGCTTGACATCACTAGTGGAAAGTTTGAGCAAACTTCCAGAGTCCTGGATCACTTATTTCAATGATCATTTCTGTTATACATTTAAGGGATAAAACGTCCAAGTTTGATAATACAAAAATACTTGGTTCTTGGTATGTGAATTCAATTTTGCAACTGTATTTTATATCTCTTTGGCCATCATATACATTTCTTATGGAAACCCAAACGACATCCTGAATATCTAAAGTTATGTAACTCTACCATATTTAAATCAAGACCCAATTTAGTTTGTAAGAAATATGATTGTGTACCTAAAACATTGATGTTTGTTTACAGATATGAAGAGTTACACAAAAACAATTAGCTCTATATCTAGCAATACTCATGCCATATAATGTTTTTCTTTAGTTTCAAATATTTTATAACTTGTTACATTTATCACATTAAATCCAAATGTAGTTTAATGCAAGGAAGTCTGTATTAATTTCTCTTGCATTTTCAGTGAATACTCTTGATATTTCCAAATATGAAATTATATATCTATTAATAAGAACTTAAGCTGAGTTAATAATAATAAAAAGTACATATACACCATAGATGGATTTATCAAAAATGCCCTGGAAGTCCAATTATTATTGTGGTAGTATATTGCTTCTGGGTGATTTCAGTTTTGATTTCAATTTTTTTTAATGTTATGAAGCCCATATTTTGCAACAAAATATATGCTTGTTTGCCATAATTATGTAAGCAGAAAATTACATTTAATGGGATTAGGGAGGTTAAGGAGTTGCTTACTTATAATAATAATAATAATAATAATTCAATGCAAACAATTTGTTTACAGTAATACTCAGTATATCAACAAGTGAAACATTTTAAACTTTGTATTTCTTTAATAATAATAATAAACATTTAAATATTGTTGAGCAGTGGTACATTGTTTAATATGCAGTCTCTTATTGTAACTTTTAAAAATCATACTGTTGCTTTGTAATAACAATATTCATCTTTTGTACTACACTTTTGACTTGTAAATATTGTTGTAGTGGTAAGCTAAAATGTTTCTCTTACTTGCATTAAATATGCCATACATTTGGCTTAGGTTGAGCAATTGTTGAAGTTGCTGTTAGATAACACAAGTATATGGATCACTGTTATTAGATAATTCCACGTTGAGCAGCTATTCAACTTGTTGTTGGGTAATGCCAGTACATATGAAATATCCATAAAATCAAAACAACATGTAAAATACAAAGATATAAACTGTCTTTTCACAGAAACACTCAACAAGTCTAACGTGAAGATTCCTACCTTAAGTCGATAACAATAATGTAAACATGTTTGATACAGTGTAACTTTTGAAATTGTAATAAACAAAGTACAAGGATTTCCTGTAAGTCTTGATTTCTCAGTTGATAATTCTTATATAGTAAAAACATTTCTCTCTAGTACATAATAACAATGGTCCACATGTTGGTGTTATGTACAACTGCTCAACTTAGGCCTACATAATAACAATGATCTACACACTAGTTTTATCTGACAGCTTGATATGTTGTTGAAACTAACCCTTATAAATGTATGCTTGTCATATCTTCCTTAAATAAAAATAGTGCATTCTAATCACAACAGAACTTCAGAAAATTAACTTTTATTTCTAAAGCAAACTACGAATGTTTTCCAGATTAAAAACACCTTTGAACTGAAAGAACTGCTGCCTACTTCTGTATGTTCATTGTTAATCTACAAATACATTTGTGGTGAATGTTGAGCCAGTAACACTAATAAAGCTATACATTACCTAAAAAGATACACTTACGAGTACAAGAGTTTCATTTAGAACTAATCAAAATAATTTAAATACTTGTGCTTCTCCTATTCACATAACACAGTGATCATCAACCTAACCCTATTTCTATTAACAATTTCCACTCTACCTCTAAATTATCAACCTATGAACTTTTGATCAATGAATTTACCCATTTTAAGTTAATGCTGAATTGTTTTCAGCTTACTTTAATTTTGAACATGAGAATCTTACTAATTCTTTACACTTCTGCAAACATTTCAGTCACATTTTTTTTATACATGTTTTTATTTGCATTAACACTCAGCACTGTTTGTTTGATATATTACTTCTCTTTACAGTCACTATAGAATGACTTATTAGAAGATGAGGCAAGTTGAAGTTTACAGTGAACTTGATTAGAATACTGAACCATTCACACTTGGAGGGGTGGAGGAAGCAATTTGGATGGGTCAGACAACTCAGAAAAGAATGCCAGTGCTATGGTGTGTGTGTCTGTGATGAATCATGGGAACATAGGGAATCATGCCAAAAGTAAGATGACTAAAAACTCCAGGAATGTGACTTAACTATAATACATATTCTTGTGATGAACCATGGGAACATCAGCAATTATACCAAAAGGAATATGACTACTATAATACATATTCTTGTGATGAATCATGGGGACATGAGGAATCATGCCATAAGTAACATGACAACAAATACTACAGGAATATGACTATTATAATACATATTCTTGTACAGAATCATGGGGACATCAATTAACTGACAAGTTGGGCATAATCAACCAAACTTAGCCTAGAATAAAGCAAACCAGAATTCATGATAAATTTAATAATGGCTGAAGATGGCTTGAATGAGTAATGAAGAAAAACTTTAATATAAGTTTAACATAACGTACCTGATGATGACAAAACCTTGTCGAAACGTTGTGCATTTGCTGTTATGTTAAACTTAATATTAAAGTTTTTACTTTCTATTACCCATTCAAGCCGTCTCCAGCCAATATTAGTCTCAAAGTGGGTTCCTCTGCTGTACCGTACAT